AATTTTTTTATTATTATTATTATTATTATTATTATTATTATTATTATTATTATTGCAAGCCGGCAAAAGCAAGGGGCTTGCTTTTGTCAGCTTGCAATCAGAGAGGTGGTGGGCTTCCCATCAGTGCTTGTGTTCCAACTAGAACCCCTCTGTTGGGGATGTTTTAATTCTTTTTTTTGCGCTGAGCAGGGACTTAGACTTGTATGGGTCCTGTATGGGTTCTTTCAACTCTATGGTTCTATTATTGTATAATTTTAAGAATTTCTTTAAAGGAGAACATGTAACAAGTAACACTGTAAGACTATCTTGAATCTGAATCTCACAGAATAACTTGCAACTTGATTTAACTGCAATGATTGTCCTGTATTAAAATATAATAGATTACATGAGGTACAAAACACTGCTCATGAATCACTCATATTACTCCTGAATATTTGGCTTGCTCTGAGGTAATTTATGAAGACAGCTAGCTCTTTTTGTGCATTTAAATAATAGATCTCTTTAATGAGACTTACAGTGTTCTTTGCTTTTCATGTCAAGCCTGGAAAACATACAGAATAGTCCTTGTCAGACCATATTTGCTAAGTCTTGAAAAATCTTTTTTTTTTGTCAGCATAATTCAACAGAAGCCAGCGTATTTTCTATGAGCCTTCATGTCCTGGTCTATAATAGATTTCATGTGGGAACTATTATCAGGCAGGCCAAGATTCAGAAATGAAAAAGCTAAGTTTGTGTGTGTGCTTATAGTCTTTTCCTTCCTGGAAGCAATTTTGTGTGGTTTATTCCTTGATCCTACATTTATCAGGCTTTGACCAGAGAGAAGACATACAGAAAGACAAAAATGAAGGGTGAACTGACAGAACAGAATAATATAATGAAAATTATGATGATGACAAATTACATCACCTAGTGAATTTGACAACAGAAGAAAATGGTTTCTTGGGCTTTCTTAAAATAACTTTGCTATTAAACTGAAGCAATATATTTTTGTACATTAAAAAAAAAGCAGCAACTACGCTTCTTTTGGCTGA